GTTCGAAGTAGGTTTTTCTTCTTTGCTTATTTATTTTCCCTAGAGAAAAAAAAGTTGATTTTATAATCTGAATTTTTCTATATTTCAATTTCATCGAAAAATACTTCTCTAGTGTTATAAAGTTGAATTAAAAAGAAAAACAAGTGGCTTAAAAATAGAAACCAGCGACTCATACTAAATGTTGTAAATAAAGAAAAAAAATGGCAACGATTAAAGTATGTAAAGACTAAAGATGCAGAAGAGATACATGACCATTGAAAGACATGTTTGCTCATTTTATTCGAAACTTTTGATTTGTCAATCTCATTTGCATCTCGACATGTGTTTCATATCCGAAAGAACAACGTTTGCAAGTAGTATCGACTAAAGAATGAAACAAGAAAAAAAGAAGTGTGTTATATTATTACATTATGAACGTGCAATAAGAAATCAGTTATCTCACATGATATTTTTGATTATTTTTGAGTACATGCTATCTACTATTCATTTTCTAGCCTAAGTGATTACCTGGATTCTGTATTAGCTGGCTATTGTCACTATTTACTCAACTTTCATTCTGTTCTTAAATCGAAATTTGATCTTCTTTGCCGACATATACGACCACATCAAGTCATTTCTGTTATGTTGTTTCATGACAATGATACATCAAATCAATCAAATCTGTTCTTTTCTCATTTTAAACTTGAACAATTCATTTATCTTCAATCATTCGATATGACTACGATTAGTGATAATAAACACAGACATACCCTGCTATATATAAATTAATTCCTTGACTGAATTGACTAGCAATACCCCATGCTCATAATCTCATTTTGGTTTCATTGCCTCATCTAAGTCATTTAATTCTTCAAAATCTCTTTTGCTGGAACTTATCATCTATATTAAATCAAATTCCTAATCTTTATTCACTTGATGTCAAACTTTCATATGATACTTCTCCAAAGTGAACGGATACCATATCATTATTGCCCCATCTAAGATGGCTCATCCTAAACATTCATGGTGTGTATAGTTATTTGAAAATTGTAAATATATATTCTTTGTTTTTTAAAATTAAGGTAGAAAAAAGACCATGATCCATGTAGAACAATTTTTATCTAAAATATCTAATCTATATTATTTCGAACTTATTGCACAAGGTTATCTGAATCTTATTGATGGTCAAAAATGGGAATTACTTGTTTCACATTTGATTATATTCCACTTTCGATTGCATCTTCCATGTTCATTACCACATTTTCCCGAAGAAAATATTCTTGATTCATTTTGTTCACTATTTTGATTTGAACGAAAACGCTGATTTGTTGCCAATGATGGTCCATATTCGCGAAATATCTTTATGGTACCTCGTTTTACATCAAATATTCTCGTATGTCCGAATATTTATTGGCCATCAATATGTACATCGTCCAATTATTTAACGTTTTATCAATATTACATCACTCGTATTCAATATAGAAGAAACCGACACCAATCTTATATCGACTTCATTTCTTGATCTCATTGAACATATGCCTCATTTACGTTCACTCTCGCGTCAAGATCTCGCTATGTTAGCTGGCTTATCACATGATATTGCCTTCGAAGCGATACGAACTTTATATGTACGAAACAATTTTGAAAAATCTGAAAGCGAAATCGACTATCGATTGGACCTAAACCAATTATGTAGTTTTATTAATTGATCAATTGAACTATCTATCAATTGCACAATTTCAATTCTATTATCGTTCATCGTCATTGACGCGTTTCTCACCTCAAAGTTTTTGCTCTAAAGATATTTCATCATATGTGAGAGTGAAATGAGATGGTTTCAGGTTTGATACGACAGTTCAATGATATCTTTGAGAATAATAAGTGATAATTGAGTACGAAAAACTAATCGATATTTATCAAGATGATAATTTTTAATTTCATTGAGCGAAAAGCCAGTTCAGACCACTTGAGTTTCTGAATAGCGTTTTAAATTTTATAGTAATAATCTCCTTATCAATAAAAAGAAAAATACAAACACAATCATATAAAAATTGTCTTCGAAGAAATTTTTGTACGTTGGAAATTTGTTTTTATCTTATATTTATTCTGCTTCAGTGGGACTCTAATTCGTTCTCAAATATATCATTAATATATATTTTCTCATTGTTTTTGCTTTTCTATTCTTTGCTTATCATTGAATATTTTGATTTTAATTATCTAACAATCGAAATTCGTTCAAATGGTATTCGTCACTAACATATTGTTTGCGATAGATCATACTGATGAAACATTCTTGTTTATATGTTGAAATATCCGATATGTCAAAATGTTTTTAGTCTTGCACATTTTGCATATAAAAAACATACACCAGCTCCAATGCTTTGACTACCCATAAATTTTATCATGTCAAATAAGTCTTGAAAAAAAGCTCAATCTTATATCAATATCTATACAAAAATCAAAATTTTTTCTACATAAGATGTATTGATTTCAATCGTACTTTCTCCAAAAAATTAGTTTTTGGAGAGCAAAATTATTTTTTCGTTTCAACTTAGAAGAAGAATGAATATTTTTCGAATCAGTTTTGATGGAAACTAGAGAGTTTCACACTTGAGAACAGGAGATAAAAGTGTATTTAATCATATATTAGCACTATGTGAGAATCACATGAGCTCTTTTCTAATACTCAACTATCGTAATATTTTACTGCACAATTAATTTTTTTCGGCAGAATAAAAGATGGAAATAAGCATTTTTGTAAACTTTTTACTTTTACAACTAAAAACTGAAAAGATAAATAAAATTGAATTGCCGTTTTATGTGAAAATGGCACGAATCGGACAAAAAAAATCTTTGAGTACAATTCGTGCGAGATTAAAATCTGAAATATGATCGAATCATTTCAAATATCCAAAGGGAATACTTCTTATTTTGGTTACAGCCCATCACAAGATTTAAGTCAGAAATTTTGAAAGAAGTAGCTTATTTTCATTTCGCTTGATTGAAGCATGTTTCAGGAAAAAATACATCATTTATCAAGAAAAACAATCACTAACAAATTTTCGCTTTCGCAATAAGTTTGTCTGAGTCAATAATGATATTTTTGTTCGTCCAATATTTTACATTTTAAACAGGAAATAACATTTTCATTTTACTCGATAGCAAAAGTCAATTCCCATCAGGAATTTGTCTTATTTTGTACCGTTGGACAGTTAGCCATCGTGAGAAAAAAATAACAGCAGAAAAGTTTGTACGCCATCATCATACCGACTATTAAGAAAATGTGTCTACAATGAACGATCTTGACAATATAACATCGATAACCATTGAGACAATTCTTATCAGCTAATACGGAGCATTTTCTAGAAGTCTTTCGAAATTGATGTAGAAAATTTAAATAATAAATATACCATTAGTGATATCAAATAATGGTGTTGCAATATCAACTAAGATGCACGGTAAAATAATAACTCTTTGAATGTCCCTATTTCTTTGCTTTGTTCTCCTGAAAACATAAAAGTAAGGAAAATTTTCAACCAAAAACAAATGATAAATCAAATTGTTAGTTAGTTTGAAATATTTTCCATTGGAATAATAGAATTGAACTCATAATAAACATTCGTTTCTTCTAGCAATCTCATTTTTGACACTCATATATAAACACTTTTTTTTTTTCTCTCACTTTGCCTGAATGATTGAATTGTTTCGATATTTATTAGTTTTTTTTTCAGCAAATGTTATTGCATTTGATTTGATTAATATCAAAACAATAAACAGAACAAATTGATTTTTTTTATTCATTGAAGAAACCACTGAAATAAAGTCTTTTTTTTTAAGAAGAATGGAAAAACTATTTGACTCTTCAATTTGTAATTTATATTCATTGAATATCTTATTCAGATAGTCTAGACTTTTACTTTTCTAAGAAGAACTCTTCATATTCCGATAGACTGTAAATTAAATCAACTAAAAGGAAAAGATTATCGTTAGTTCAGATAGGCGATTACGCGTCATTAGAGATTGGATCTTTATTTAGTAAATTCGAATAGAAATATCAATGAATATTTTAATTTATGCTTGATCAGATAAACCTTGAAAAGTCATTGAATCAACTTCGAAAAATAAAAGATTGATTAGGATTTTCTCGACAACTATCTGATGTTTCGGGCTGACAATAGAAAATAAAAAATTGTTGTATGTTTCTCATATTGAGAAACGTCTTGTAACCAAATCGTCTGATGATTAGATAATCGCTGGGAGAAACGGAGAGGGAACTGATGTTAATCAACTCTACGGGATCTTGTCCTGATCGATTGGAAAAATCATCATGTGACGAAATGACTACTTGGTACCAGAGAAGTTCCAGAATTTCTCTAAGATTTTTTTTCTCTATTCAAAATCATGACTGTTTATGTACTACTCGTTTTCTTTGTTGACAAAAACATGGTTTTGTACGTTATATTTTGTTTGTTTTCTGTCGTTGATGCAACCTACATTTTTATATTGGCAAGAAGAAAATAAGAGAAAAAGCAAAAAGTGGGTATATGTTTGTGCACGTATAGAAGAGAGCGAGCGGGATATAGAAGTGTATGTTTGCTTAGATTAATGACGATGACACCATCATTATCATACTTGTTGTCGACCAAAACACCTTTTTTTTGTTCAGGTCTTTTCTCTTATTTTGCAGATGTCATCGGCTGATTGAATAGCTTCGAATGTTAAAGTTAAATATACTCAAATCTTTATCAACAATGAATGGCATAAAGCAACAAATGAAAAAACATTTTCTGTCATCAATCCAAGTACAGGAGAAGAAATCTGTCAAGTAGAAGAAGGCACTAGAGTATGAACCTCTATATGTTCTTCATTGGTTCATTATCTATTGTGATTTTCAGGCTAGTGTTGATAAAGTAGTTGAAGCTGCTCAAACAGCTTTTGATATTGAATCACCATGACATAAATTAGATCCCATTTCTTTCTCTCAACATAAGTCAATGTGTAGAAAGTGGAAACACTTAACAATGGTAAACTAGTAGAACAGACTAAAGGTGAAATATTTTTCTCAGTTAATTGCACTGAAACCAACTAAACAAACACTACTTAGTGCACTTTATTATGCTGCTCTTATCAAAGAGGTAAGATACTATGATGTCGATTATACTTTGTTGTTGTCATGATGACCTAGGCTGGCTTCCCATCAGATGTTGTCAACATCATACCAGGTAAAGTGAATGATATTTCTCATAATAATTTCATAAGAATATTTAGGTGATGGGCCTGAATGTGGTTATACAATTGCTGTTCACGCACATATTGATAAAGTAGCTTGTACTAGTTCAGTTGAAGTAAGAACATTCACTAATAAAACTAAAAAAAAATAAATGTGAAATGTTTGAGTGAAGGTTGGAAAGAAAATACGAGAAGCGGCAACTACATCAAATCTTAAATGTGTTACATTTGAACTTAGTCAGTAACAAATACAGGATAATTTTCATCTGAGCTATTCTCTTTTCACATACCGGTGAAAAGTCTCCTTTGATCATCTGAGGGTGAGGATGAGTATTCTATAAGACTTTCAAATAATCAAATTGATTCTAATACTGAACAAGGATCACAAGTAATAACCGCTTTAATCTAAAGAAAAGTTCCCTTTACTTGTGTATGATAGATAAATGATAGTCAATTTCAACAGATTTTGGATTTTATAGAAGCAAGTTAAAAGTTTGGAGATAAATTAGAATGTGGTGATGAACGAGTTGATAATAAAGATTATTTTATCAAAGCAACTATTTTTAGTGATGTAAAAGATGATATGCAAATTACTCGTGAAGAGGTATAACATTTTTTTTTTATTAGATTCTATAATAATGTGAAAATTTAGATAATTGGTCCAGTAATGTCAGTCTTAAAGTATGATTCATACGAAGAAGTTATCAAACGAGCAAACGACACGACCTTTGGACTTGGTGCTGGAGTGATAACTAGAGACAGTAAATTTGAAAGAAATGATTATTGATGATTATTCTAGTTTTTCAGTAAGACGTGGTCTTACGTTGGCTCACTAAATATGACCTGGCTCTATTTGGATAAATACTTATAAGATTATATGTGATCAAGTACTATTTGATGGCTTTAAAGAATCAGGTCAAGAAAAAGAATTAGGCCGATATGGTCTCGAAGCATACTATCAAGTGAAAATAGTTGTTATTAAACTTGTTTGAGAAAAAACAATACGAATTTTTCATGAAGAACAGCTATTTGGATTTGCTTGTTTAACTTTCTAACATTTATGTATTTTGCTCTCTAAACTCTTCCATGTATTGCGAAAGTCACACTAATACGTACAACTAATTTAAATAAAATATTTAAGTGCAAAGAATAGAATACCACGAGCAATCAGTTGAAACAACTCCCAATTACGGTAATAACTCGTATGAATGATCATAATCTAGTTTCAATTTAAAATACATAATTAAAAACATTTTAAATTTTATTGTTTACAAAACTTTAAAGAAATACAATACAAAGAAACAAATTGATTATTGAAGAAGGAAAAGTGTGATCGATTCTTTTCTGCTATCGTAAGACATTACTTATTGATTATATATATAGTGAATTTAAAGAAGTTTTTATATATAATAAGTTCTTCGATTGTTCCTGTTCTCCATCATCTAAGTGACATAAGTTTTGAACAGTAACAATAATATTCTTGTAAAAAATGTTAATTTATTAACTGAAATTACGTAAGTAGATAAATGATATTGATGAAGAGATGCTTTAGCCTGTTATTTACAACGCTTTCGAAATCCAGCGTACAGTTATGAAAATTAGATCTATTCGCTTGAAATCTTCGCCATTCTAAAAATTCCTTCTTTCCATCGTGACAATTTCGTTCTGAAAGTCTTCCTTCATATATTGAGTGTTTCACGTTAAACGAACTGATAA